TTGCATGGGCCTACACCCTACCCTTTGAATAGGGGATCTCTGGACGGAGCTGGACACACGCACTGCCATTTGTCTCCTGGACAGGGAACCTACACCTTTGGTCAGCAGGGGCATATTTACCACAAGGCAGTTGCCTAGGGTGGCATTTTTCAGGGGGGGGGGTCACCCCCCAGAAGATGGAACATCTGTAGCATGGGGACCAGGTGGGATCCGAGAGAGGCTGTGGGCCAGTGTTGCATCTCCCGGTGATGTCTGGAGCTGCAAAGGTGGGTGTTCTTCTTTCTCTCGCCAGGGGGGAGTGGGGTGGTTGTGGGTGCATGAAGGGTGGTTCTCTTGGCTGGGGGCAGGGGTAGACTGACAACTCATGGGGCCCCTATGTCCTCGCCCACACTCAAACCACACCCAAAAAAGCCTATGAAAGGTACCAGGGGCATCTCATGGGGCCCCCTACTGACCCCAGGCCCTCAGGCAGTGCCCGAGTTCCCAATTGGTCAGTCTGCCCCTGGCTTGGGGGCTGTTAGTGGAAGGTTCTCTCGGCTGGTGGGAGGGCTTTTGGCAGGTGTTAGTGGCCGCAGGGGGGATGGGGTGGAATGCTGTGGTGTTGGTCGGTGTCAGGCTCTCTCCTCTCGGTGGGGGGGTGTAGGTGGTAGTCAGACAATTTTTGTGTTGCCTAGGGCAGCACAAACCCTAAATACACCCCTGTTGGTCAGGTCTTTGTTTATAACGAGTGTGGACACCTTCAGGCCTTCAATAAGATCTGGATATGCTAGGTAACCCCCCTGCACACTGCTGTGTACCCCTTTTCTGAGCAAGCTTCGCGATATAAAACAGGAATTTTCACGTTACACATATTGCAATACACGTTTGAGCCGACCAACCGCGTCAAAGTATGTCTTGGTTCTTCATTATGACCTGGACACGGGATTGAAGGTTTTTGTCCCACCCAAGGCTCTTTGAAGGCTTCAGATTCCAGACCCCGATGAAGGATTACCAAACCTGGAGAAAAGTGAAGACCCATACTTCCACAACACTTCGGACCTCTCTCAAGCTGGACTCTCAGGTGGACTTGAATCTGGTGGACTGGAATCTGATGGACTGAACTCTCAGGTGGACTGGACGCTCAGGTGGACTGGAATCTGGTGGACAGGAATCTGATGGACTGGAACTCTCAGGTGGATTGGACGCTTAGGTGGACTGGAATCTGATGGACTGGACGCTCAGGTGGACTGGACGCTCTGGTGGACAGGACGCTCTGGTGGACTGAACGCTGGTGGACTGGACGCTCTAGGTGGACTGGACGCTCTGGTGGACTGGAATCTCTGGTGGACTGGACGCTCAGGTGGACTGGACTGGACTCTTAGGTGGACTGGACGCTCCGGTGGACTGGACGCTCCGGTGGACTGGACGCTCAGGTGGACTGGACTGGACTGGACGCTCTGGACGCTCAGGTGGACTGGACGCTCTGGTGGACTGGACTCTCAGGTGGACTGGTGTCTTTATCCAACCTTACCAACAATCAGGGGCGGACTGACAACTCATGGGGCCCCCGGGCAATAGGGGATCATGGGGCCCCCTACTGACCCAGAGTGCTTGGGCAGTCCCGAGTTCCCAAATGGTCAGTCCGCCCCTGCCAACAATATAACTATTTTCCTATTCATGTTTACACCCAATATCTCTAATATCTAGAATTTCTAAAATGTTGAAAAAAAACCCCTTGAAATCGATATCATGGTGTGAATTGTTATTCTGGTTCGGCCCGTTTGTTCTGTTGCTGCCTTTTGGGAAGTAACCAAAGAAACCCCCAGAAAAAAAGTCCACAGTGTAGAACTTGAAGCGAAGCTTCTGACTGTTCCTTCCCATAGGTGGTGGTTTAACAAAATGCGTCCAGCAGGTTCCTCCCTCCCTGCATTGTGTTCAGAGGCCAAGCATGGGGAACGTCAACATGCAAAGCACATGCAAAGCAGAAACCATCCAAACCAAACACATGCAAAAGTCAACAATGGAAATGGCCAGTAAAGCTCCACTGGACTGGAGGGGAGGAGAGTTGGAACCTCTGTTGGGTTTTTATTGTTGCCTCTCAGCCAACTGGGGATGCTCACCTTCACTTCCTGTCATTGTGACACCAGGAAAGAAAATTAGGCAAATGGGTGTCACCAGGCCATGGAGCTCAGGCACCCCCGGGACAGTTGAGTGGGACTGGTGATATCAATCAGGTGTTGGTTCCAGAACTTTCCCTGTAGCTGTGGGAGATCCTCAAACTGCTCTTCTTCCACTGCTATTGGATCAGATATTACAGTTGGAGACCCCCCACTGTGTGTACACACCTCTGTACTGATACTTGGATCATACCGGGAAGGGAAGACCCGCTTTCCCTATAACTTGGCTGGATCTGGACCCCCGTGGGGGCTTAGTCTCATGAAGTGGAGCGTACCTCAATCCTGCCTACACCATGTCTGATGATACAATAGATCTGGTGGGGTTCCCCAGTCATCCAATGTATCTGATGCAGGAGGTCGGAGGTCGGAGGATGCCGGGTGGCACGGTGGTGTGTGGATACAACGCAGGGACAGGGGCGGACTGATCATTCAGACACTCGGGCACTGCCCGAGGGCCCGGGATCAGTTGGGGGCCCCATGACCTTCCCCTGGTACCTTTCATAGGCTTTTTTGGGAGTGGTTTGAGTATGGGCGAGGACACGGGCCCCATGATCCCCTATTGTCTGGGGGCCCCATGATGACATGCCCCTGGTACCTTTCATAAGCTTTTTTGGGAGTGGTTTGAGTATGGGCGAGGGGCCCCATGACACGGGGATGACGCCATGATCCCCTATTGTCCAGGGGCCCCATGATGACATGCCCCTGGTACCTTTCATAGGCTTTTTTGGGAGTGGTTTGAGTATGGGCGAGGACACAGGGGACCCATGATCCCCTATTGTCCGGGGGCCCCATGAGTTGTCAGTCCGCCCCTGCGCAGGGATTGATCTGAAGAGCATTCGAATTATGTCAGGAGAAGCCATAGAGGAGGAAGGAGTCCCAGTGACAGAAAATCGAATCATTTATGTTGCTGGAGGAACTATCCTTCCCTTCTATCACGTGGGATGGTCCATAGATCAGATCTGTGTCATTGGTAACATTGTATCATCAATGAGCCCCACCCCGGATTTAACAAATTGAGTTACCCCCCCCCCCCCACACACACACTCTAGCTGGCTGCAATCACACATCAGGCTGCAGATATACAGAAGCCCCTTCATTATGTATCAGTAATCAATGATATTCGCCGAGAGGTTCCACATTTCCAGAGTTCCCTTCGTATCATGAATAGGAAACCATCTTGTTACATTGTTATTAGATGTATGCGTTTCGTTTCGTTTCGATTCGTTTTTTGATTTTCTGAGATTCGGACGTAAACAAATCTCCGAATGGACAGAGAAATGAATGTCAACGAATCTAAAAATAAATTTTAACCGAAATTACCGATTGCATTTGTTTCATTCGGATCAGGTCACGTGATGCAATCGTAGTTCAGGCCCGCGGGGGGGAACTAATTCAATTTTCAGATTCATTCAGTCATTAGAGTTGCAATATCAAATGAATCCAAATTTTGTTCCATTCGTTATCTCAGATGCACGCGACACGAGTCGATATTGTCCAATCAGCTCTCCTCTTGGTGGATTTATATATATATATATCTGTGTGTATATGTATGTATATATATGTGTGTGTATATATATATATATATATATTTATTGAAATATATTGAATGTGGCCAAAATTGTAGCATTTCAAATATTTGTCAATATATTTGGGAAGAACATTTTTAAAGTATATTTCAAATATATTTTTCTTCCATGTGGTGGTTCCCGGCCCACAGCAGTCATTCCTGGGAACATTCAGCGTGTGGAAAGTCTGATCCTGGATCATCGATCGTGAAATTGCACAACAGACCAATCTTTCTGTGGGAACGGTGAACACAATGATGAGGAAGTGAAGCTGGATGTCCTAGGATGGTTCAGGCGTACCGACAAATCTTTCTATGCTGAAGACTTCCAGGCAGGGGCGGACTGACCATTTGGTACTGCCCGAGGGCCCGGGGTCAGTAGGGGGCCCCATGAGATTATTAATATTATTATACAGTATTTATAAAGCGCCAATGGTTCGCTCAGCGCTGTACATTACAAGGGGGACAGAACATGTGACAGAACAATACCAATACAATGTGATACATGAGGGGATTGAGGGCCCTGATCCTTGAAGCTTACAATCTAGGAGGGGGGGGGATGGTGGCACAGGAGGAGATAGCTGTGGGGGATGGAGTGGTAGGCAGAGTGGAGGAGGTTGTCAAGTTAGCAGGGGGTGGGGTAGGCTTCCCTGAGAGATGGGTTTTCAAGGGTGCGCCTAAAGGAGAGGAGAGTAGGTGACAGTGTGATGGGTTGGGGCAGGGAGTTCCAGAGGATGGGTGACACCCTGGAGAAGTCCTGGAGGCGGGCATGGGAGGAGGAGACCAGGGAACTAGAGAGAAGGAGGTCTTGTGTGGAGCGGAGCGGAGTGTGCGTGTTGGGCGGTACTTGGATATTAGGTCGGTGATGTAGTTCGGGGCAGTATGGTGGACGGCTTTGTACGTCAGTGTTAGGATTTTGAATTTGATCCGTTGTGGAAGCAATTGGCGAGAAGGACACTGAGTGGAGGCCAGTGGAGGGATTGGCAGAGGGGGTGGAGGCCAGTGGAGGGATTGGCAGAGGGAGGTGGAGGACACTGAGTGGAGAGCCAGTGGAGGGATTGGAGGGGGGTGGACACACTGAGTGGAGGCCAGTGGAGAGATTGGCAGAGGGGGGTGGAGGTGGAGGATTGGCACTGAGGGAGTGGAGGACACAGTGGAGGTCAGTTGGCAGAGAGGGGTGGAGGACACTGAGTGGAGGCCAGTGGAGGGATTGGAGGACAGAGGGGGTCAGTGTGGAGGGATTGGCAGAGGGGGGTGAGGACACTGGTGGAGGCCAGTGGAGAGATTGGCAGAGGGGGGTGGAGGACACTGAGTGGAGGCCAGTGGAGGGGGTGGAGGACACTGAGTGGAGGCCAGTGGAGGGATTGGCAGAGGGGGGTGGAGGACACTGAGTGGAGGCCAGTGGAGGGATTGGCAGAGGGGGGTGGAGGACACTGAGTGGAGGCCAGTGGAGGGATTGGCAGAGGGGGGTGGAGGACACTGAGTGGAGGCCAGTGGAGGGATTGGCACTGAGTGGAGGCCAGTGGAGGACACTGAGTGGAGGCCAGGTGAGGGATTGGCAGAGGGGGGTGGAGGACACTGGAGGCCAGTGGAGGGATTGGCAGAGGGGGGTGGCGGAGAGGCCAGTGGAGGGATTGGCAGGGGGGGTGGCGGAGACAGAGCGGTGGAAAGGTGAATGAGTCTGGCAGCCATATTCAGGATGGACTGAAGCGGGGATAGCCAGCGGCGAGGCAGGCCAGTGAGGAGGGAGTTGCAGTAGTCGAGTCGTGATATGATGAGGGAGTGGATGAGCTGTTTAGTGGTTTCTGGGGTTAGGAACGTTCGGTTATGGCGAGCCTTCCCAGAAAAGTGCAAATGAAACCCCATGGTTATGGAATTGAGATGTCCAACACGCACATAGAGGCTTGATGGTCAGGTGTCCAGGTGCCTTCCCAGAAAAGTGGATATGAAACCCCATGGTATTTTAATTGGGATCTCCAACAAGCTCAAAGAGGCTTGATGGCCAGTTGTGTGCACACACACCTTTACCTATGACATGATTATTCCAGCATGACTATGCCCTTGTGCACAAAGCCAGCTCAATAAAGACGTGGTTTGATGAGTTTGGTGTGAAGGAACTCAAGTGGCAGTGACTTCAACCCTACTGAACATCTATGGGATGAATTGGAATGTCAGCTGGGAGCCAGTTCTTCTCATCCAACACCAGTACCTGACCTCACAAATGTTCTTTGTGCGAAGTGGGTACAATGAGATGCCCCTGGTACCTTTCATAGGCTTTTTTGGGTGTGGTTTGAGTGTGGGCGAGGACACGGGGGCCCCATAATCCCCTATTGCCCTGGGGCCCCATGAGTTATCAGTCTGCCCCTGCTTCCAGGCATTAGTGTCACACTGGCATAAGTGTATAAATGTAGCAGGGGAGGATGCTTGAAAATAAATGCAGTTTTCACTCCTTGAAATCTGTTTTTTGTTTATTATATGAACCCAAAAGTCTTTGGTTTGACTTGAACGATCCTCGTAAAAATATAGGGACAACTAACATTGTAAATGTGAAGGTGATGGTTGTACACCGACATTACATATATATGAGGGTCCCTGACCCTCAAGGGGGGGGCGTACAATCTAAGTCCCTCACATACATACAGATACTAGGGCCAGTGTACACAGGAGTAGGGGCGGACTGACAACTTATGGGGCCCCCGGGCAATAGGGGATCATGGGGCCCCTGTGTCCTTGCCCAAACTCAAAAAAAAAGGAAAAATGAAAAAGGAACCAGGGGCATCTCATGGGGCCCCCTACTGACCCCGGGCCCTCGGGCAGTGCCCGACTTTCCAAATGGTCAGTCCGCCCCTGCACAGGAGCCAATTACCCTCCTGGCATGTACATTGCTGGATAAAAGGACAAGTCATTGTTTAGGGAAATGACAGTAATAAATGGCAGTTAACTCCAAAGATTAGAGCATTAAGAAAATAAATAATTGGAATAAACCCGATAAAATGGCCCGTAGTAATAACCGCCTCCCATCCGCCCTGTAGTAGAAGTACTGCTACAGGGTGGCACGGGTGTGCAAAATCATGTATATATACGTGATTTCGCATTTCTGGGTAGGGGGCGACGACGAGGTGCGCGTGCACCCTATCCGCACCATCATTCACAGCCACGGCTGCAATCCGTCAATCCCCGGGCCTGGACGGTGACAACTCACCAGCGCCCGGTGATTGCCAAGGGGGGAGGAACTGTTTGTAAACATACAGACAATACATATCTCTCCCCTGTCAGCTCCTGCACACTGCTTTGTATGGCTCTGTATAGCTCAGCCATCCAAAGCAATGTATTTACAGTGAAGCACACACACAGCGCACAGTTACCTGTCTGATGGCCCCAGATGTTAACCCCTCCCTGCCCAGTGCCATTAGTACTTTTCATAATCACTGATCACTGTATTGGTGTCACTGGGGATGTCAGTGACACAAAGTCAGTCCCCCCCCCCCCCCCCCCCAGTGTCAGAACGCCCACCGCAGTCCCGCTATAAGTCGCTGATCGCCGCCATTACTAGTAAAAAAAAAAAATCCCGCCATTTGTAGACGCTGTAACTGTCACGTAAACCAATTAATTTACACGTCTTGGGATTTTGTTCAGCGACGACACGGAGCAGAATACATTTTGGCTGAAATTTATGACGAAATGTAATTGTTTTTATTTTTTACCAGACGTGTTTAATAGCAAAAAGTCCAAAATATTGTTTTTTTTTCTCAAAATTGTCGGTCTATTTTTTTTTTTTTATATAGTGCAAAAAATAAACGAACAGGAAAATACCACCGAAAGAAAGCTCTATTTGTGGGGAAAAGAAGATGTAAATTTAATTTGGGTGCAGTGTTGCATGACCGCGCAATTGTCAGTTACAGTAACGTAGCGCCGTATCGCAATAAAAATGGCCTGGTCAGGAAGGGGGGGGGGGGGGGGGGGATCCTCTGGAGGGGGAGGGGTACGGAATATACACAATATACACAGAACAGGAAAACACACTCTGGTATAAATACAATAAAAAACACGTCATGGGATTGATAGAGAAAACAATGTTTAAACTGCATTGCAGTAACCGTGACAATCATTGTAACCGTGACAAATGACATTGTAACCGCGACAAAATACATTGCAACCGCGACAAATACATTGACAAAATACATTGTAACCGCGACAAATACATTGTAACCGCGACAAATACATTGTAACCGTGAAAAAAATACATTGCAACCGCGACAAATACATTGTAACCGACAAATACATTGCAACCCGCGACAAATACATTGTAACCGCGACAAATACATTGTAACCGCGACAAAATACATTGCAACCGCGACAAATACATTGCAACCGCGACAAATACATTGCAACCGCGACAAATACATTGCAACCGCGACAAATACATTGAACCGCGACAAATACATTGTAACCGCGACAAATACATTGCAACCGCGACAAATACATTGCACCGCGACAACATAACCGCATTGTAACCGCGAGAAATACATTGTAACCGCGACAAATACATTGTAACCGCGACAAATACATTGCAACCGCGACAAATACATTGCAACCGCGACAAATACATTGCAACCGCGACCGCGACAAATACATTGTAACCGCGACAAATACATTGTAACCGCGACAAATACATTGTAACCGCGACAAATACATTGCAACCGCGACAAATACATTGTAACCGCGACAAATACATTGTACATTGTAACGCGAGAAATACATTGCAACCGCGACAATACATTGTAACCATGACAATGACATTGTAGCCATGTCAATGGATGGATTGATACAATGATTATCATTCAATGTATTTGTTGAGGTTACAATGATTTTCCTGCAATGCAGTTTAGAGCGGTTTAGGTCTCTAATGCCGACCATAGATGGGTCTATCGACCGATTTTTGCACCATTATTGGGTTAATTGGTCGGCCGTTTTTCGGGGTTTTGGCACATTTTTTACCAATAAAAAAAAATGCTCATGAGCCGTGACCTGCAAGAAGAAGAAAGAAGAAAGAAAAAAAGAAAAAAAAAAAAGAATTCCAGTCCACTATTATATCTGACATGAAAAGTCTTGCGGTTGCAACAATGTATCCATTTGTATCCAAATAAAAACATCCGTATCCGAAATGGATACAAATAGATACAAATGGATACATTGTTGCAGCCGCAAGACTTTTTCATGTAAAATATAATAGCGGAGCTCTCTGCAGGGACAGAAGTAAAAATGCCGGCCGATTTTTTTTACCGTTGGTGGTAACGTCGGCCGATTTTTTTTTTTTTTTTTTTTTTTTTTAAAAACGGCCGGTTTTTGACCCGTCTATGGCCTGCATAAGGCAGACACACAGCCACACGGTGAAGTTGGATGACAATCAGTTCAATCTTAAACGGAGTAAGGGGTTCTTTACTGTTAGAGCGGTACGGATGCGGCACTCTCCCTTCCACAGTTGGTGGTGTCAGCAGACAGTGTAGATTCATTCAAAAAAACTTTCAATGTTTTTTGGTCAACTTATTGTACAAATGTGTTCTTAGTGAATACAGATATGCAAAGGGTGTGATATTCTGGGGGTGATAATTGTGTTTTTAGTGACACCACGCCCCTCACAACTGTGGGTTCAGGGCTTGTCAGTCCCCTTTTAATAAATAAATGAAAGCAAAGCCCACACAGGGGTCTTCACCCTGAAAACACAGACACAGTCAAAATAATACCAAGCCACCTGGCTCTTTTTTTTTTTTTGTTCCGTAAAAGCTTTATTAATAACACAAGTAGGTACAATGTCCAGTCAAAGCTTTTCCAGTATAGTAAATGAACAGATGACTGGAAATACAGAAAGACATAGGAGGAATCACATCTTTAGGACACAAAGGTAGGAGGAAGTGGGAACAATAAGTGATAAACAAAATGAAGAATTTCAACACTTGGATATGCCAGAGGTAGGAGATCAATAAAAGACACAAATTAACCATCAAACAATAGAAAATACGGAACACAGATAAAGAAGCGCTTCTGAGAGTTACGCTGGTTCCAGTCCTTCAAATCACTGAGGGCCTTGATAGGATGTGAAGCCCCACAATAAAGGCATGGCACTAGGCACAATCAGGGGTGGACTGACAACTCATGGGGCCCCCGGCAATAGGGGATCATGGGGCCCCTGTGTCCTCGCCCAAACTCAAAAAAGCCTATGAGAAAGGTACCAGGGGCATCTCATGGGGCCCCCCTACTGACGCCAGGTCCTCGGGCAGTGCCCTAGTTTCCAAATGGTCAGTCTGCCCCTGGGCACAATCTAAATGTATAAAAAAAACAAAACAAAAAAAGGTGGATGGAGAGAAAACCAAAAAAACAAGAGGAGAAACTGGAAGGAGAAGGACCCGTGAGAACCAAGGGCTCATATATAGGGCTGCAAATAGCCTCCACACCCCCGTACTCTCCTCCCAGGAGAAGAAGTAGTGAGGTTTAGGAGGACGGAACTCACATATCACACTAATGCTCTACAAGATACAAGAGTCAATGATCGAGCCACCCAACTCTCTTCTCAGCCGTTCTATGGCGTAGGCCCCAAACCTTCACCTTTGGCTTTTGATTGATCCCTCAGACCATCTCAACCAGCTCTCCTGGCTCTCAGCCTTCAGTTGCATGGGCCTACACCCTACCCTTTGAATAGGGGATCTCTGGACGGAGCTGGACACACGCACTGCCATTTGTCTCCTGGACAGGGAACC